GAAAATAATTATTGCGATTACTCAGAAGTTTTGTTAAAACAATTCAAAGCTTTAATAGGATACCACTTGATCTCTTCAATTAACTATTTGCAACTACGCTTCCTTTGGGATCCACATAGTTAACGACGCTTGGATCTGCAGGGTTGGAGGGGAACAAGGGAAGGAATCAATGTTCCTTCTCCCTTTCACACTGACAGCTTGTATTTCGCAGGCAGAAACAACGAAAATGAACCGACCGTAAGCTCAGCTGCTCTGCTAGAGTTCTCTCACAGGCCTGGAGACCGAGACCAAGCACAGGCCATCTTAGAGTCACAGGCTCAAATCTGCCCTCGTTTGTTTTAACCATTCATGTATCCGTATTCCCATTCAAGAAACACACCGGCTACATTTTCAAAACATATTTCTAGTTACACATGCAATGGTAGAGTCCCTCGCTTAAGAGGCACGCAACACAATTTCTGTAGTAAGTGAACTTGGTAACATTCCCTTTTGTCCTACAAGCACAGTACCGTCAGGTGGAAAGGCAGAATCTGGAGAAAACACATTTTAAGAAATCCAACATTAAAAAAGCATAGAAGCTGTGTGAACATGGCCTACAACAGAGCTCGTGTTAAGCAGAGGCTCACTCCTTAGGTACTATCTATAAATGCATTCCCACCAGTAACAACAAACATCAGGCTAGGGCTGGGGGGGGGGGACAGTTCTGGTGTGGGTTTTTTAAAGCATGCCTTGAGCATACAATCTCTAACCAAAGCGTAAGTGTTCGCAATAACAATGAATAAGAAATCTCAGGTAAGAGGGAACGAATAATAGGTCAAATTATCTAGGCAAAGAGCTTTTAAGGCACAGGCTACTTGATAATTCCAGCAGAGATATTAAAATGATGTAAACAGTAAAACAGAAAATAAATGCTGCAGAGAAGCCTACGCCAAGGAGCGCATTCTTTCCTTAAAAGCCCGGGACGATCAAAGTATTAAAACAAAAGATTCTGTGGTAAAGTTGGGGCTTTGTTAGGGGAGTAGGCATGGCAATCGTCTCAGACCGAAGGAAGGGACCTTTCAGAACTTTCTACAGCTTTAAAAATTACTTTAAGGACAGGTGATTCTAATTGTAAAGTCTAATTGTCACGCAAGTGCACCTTTCCTCAGCACTAAGTACATTTTTAAAACCTCTTTTGATTTTTGTACATTTTATAGCCATTCTATATCTACACTCACCACTTTGCTTTTGTGAGGTTTTGACATAACAAAAGCAGACTCAAACAAACTTAAAATCATACTTTACCAATTTTAATTCCGTGAGGAACTTGGTAAGGTGCAGGAGCCATAAATTATTTAAAACTTATAAGAGAGACACAGGGGTTGTTTTTTTTTTTTTTAATGAGACTGTATTTGCAATAAGAAAAAAAAAAGGAAAATAAGAAAATATGAAGTTCCTCTCCCTCAAATGTAAATAAACTTCTTTTTTACCTGCATAATGCATATCTCTACCACCAGCACAAGCCAGACAGTGGCTTTGTGCTGTAGTGAACATGAAATATTAATGCAAGATACCTATAAAAACTATCCTTCAGTTCACCCTCTATTTACAGGGTACAGAAGTAAATATCTTGCCCCTTGCATTCAGCAGACATCTCAAAACCCCTGCACACTGCCCCACCTTTCCAGTATATGGTTTGTTCCTAAATAACCTTTGTGCAGTTAAAATACATCAGAAACAGGATGTGAGCTGCTTTCTGGCACAGAGTAATTGAACAAGGGCAATTCACGAACGTACAGGAGCCAGGCCTTTTGTGGAGTCTTACACTTCCAGTATACTGCTACACATGTGACTGCACAGTTGTAAGCATAAAGGGCGAAGGGGACAGTAAAGAAATACTATTAGAAGCTTAATAATAGGTTTTTAGCGCTGCCCCTTCTACACAAGGAGCCTCTCCTGAAGGCTGGTCTGCTTTACAGCTCACATCACCATGCGATGGTCCTCCGAAAAGCAAAGCCCTATCACACTACGAAGTTTTCTGGAAGATTTTAAACAAGCAAAACCAACAAACAAACCCAAAACAATAGTAAAAAGGTTAAGTCACCAACATGTGTTTCTCACATGATGTTCATCTTGAGTTTCTGGTACCCACGCAAAATGCCCGTAACACACGAAATAAGAGTCTATCAAGGTTCTTACAAACTGGTACTGAAATGCAAGAGAAATCTCTGTTGTAAACAAATTCCAGCAGTATCAATTCATTTGATCGAATAAAGTTCTTCAGGGCTTTGAGAATAAGTATAAAGGAACTGAACAGCTACGATGTGTTCATATGCAATTATGACCATTATAAACAAACTGCATGAACAACCCAAGTGATAGCCGGGCTCACAATTAAAGCTTTCCAACTGCACACAGAATTTCACAACTTTATAAGGCACCATAAAAGAAAAAACCAAAAAACACAAAAATGCATGAAGACTGTCTCCTTTGTACAGATCCAGTCCAAGGATATTTTTTTTTTTAATTATAATTTCTACAGTGACGTTTAACAGACACACACAAAACCTCATCCCTAAAAAAGAGAAGTAAAGTTGGCGTAAGAACTATTTAGGCCCAATGCTTGAAACACAGCTGAAGCTGAATGGCCTAGGGTGAAGAAAGATCTTTACAAAACCTAAACTGAAAGCAGAGATCTTACTGTTGAAGCTGGAAAACACAACAGCTTTTTTCTCTGAGCCGCATAAGTTTCAGTTTCTTACTTTTGCTTTAAGTTCTTTGAAGGAAAGTTTCCTATTTTCATCTCCTACAGGGAGAAAACCACTTTCAACTGCCTTCTTCCACCTCACAACAAATCCAGTTCAGGATGCACATACAGAAGAGCAAAGATTAAAAGCTTTCAGGTAGAAATCTTATAATGACTAATGGTAAAATAATTATTAATAACAAAATATTCCTTAACGTGACATTTTGAATTATACACCATGTTAGCTTTGTTAGTTAACCAAAAAAAGCACTAAAACCCATAATGGGATCCACTCCAAGTTTCTTGTCGCTCAGGTCAGTACGGCTAAAAACTGGGGGTATGACATAGTTGACATCCCGCTAGTGGTAAGTACTCAGTGAGCAAGCACCTACCTTCTGCTGGACAACCAGCCTCTTAACACCTTGAAGTGAGACTCTATACATGCTACTATGCAACATGAAATCAATGGATAAAGAGGTTGCTTCATACTCCCTCTGTATCAGCTCAAACTTCCAGCTGATGTAACTATCGTAAAATAATCTGATTTCTCTACCACAGTAAGGTTGAAAGGTTTAAAAACATGCGAGAAGCACTTCAGCTTTTTTTTTAAATACAGTTTTAAAGTTTCACTTACTGAGCTACAGAATTCCTTTCTAGAAAATAATAATAAAAAATGCCCCCAAAGAAACAGTTTCATTCAGCTATCGTGAAACATGCCCAGATATAAATAAAATTCCCAAAGCCTGTGATCTTTCCACTAAAGTGTGGTAATTAACTTCTCCAACTAATATGGGTAGTTATGTACATTTTTTGTTTCTTTCTTTAAGATCCTGTTCTTACTAATAATTTAATGTCACTATTTAAATATAAACGATAAAGTTATATTATACACAATCACTAACAAGCTTAATATAAAAGTTTTAGCATTATGCATTAACCGGGTAGAAGTCATGAATTTTAGATTTCTAGGGTTGGTGTTTCCCCCCCGGCTTTGAAAAGCGTGCTATTTTCTTCACAAATTAAGCCCCAAAATAAGCCTCTTTTCATCAAAGTTAAACATTCCCCCGCTATGTAGCATATCCAGCCTCACCAGCTAGCTCCGGGCAAGCACAGGAAAGCCAGAGGAAGCTGACTTACAAAACTGAAACTAAGCAGGTGTCTTCATTGTTACAAGTGAGCACAATGAAGGAAAAAAAAGAAGTAAAGAGACAGCCAAAATCCTTTCTGATACCTGAAAATCTACAGCTAAGCAAAACAGATGTATCTATCTATCGATATGGGTGTACGGGAGTATCTGTCCTTTAACCTGATAATGAGCAACAGCATATCTAGTTAAGAAAACTTCACTGGCCCAAAGGAGCCTACCTACCCCTTACTAGAGCCCTGCCATGACTGAGCGCATGTCCCCACCTGATTTTTCCACGCTCAGACCTACCTACTGTACATCACAGTACACAACTTTCTCGTGACACGCAAGTTATTACCCCCCAGTGGGACCTTTTTACATGCAGTCTCCACAGTGAACAAAAGTTCATTGTCAAGCTCAGCGCTTGGGCCCAAACAAACATCCAGGGGGTAAGAGGGGGAGAAAGAGGGGAAGTGCTCCTATCCACAATTGCAAGATTTGCAGGCAATCACCGTTACTTACAATTAAAAAGTGGGAACAGGTGTAGCAGATACCATACTTTGATAGCTGAACAAAGAATATTACAGCACGTGACTGAAATGTGATGACATTTGTTCACCAATCAAAAACAAAAGCCACTCTCCAATGGCACTCTTTTTTTTTACCCCCAAGAATTAGGAACTTGGAAATCTCTCCATATTGAAACACATCTGTTCATAGCCTCATTTTTTGACACTTGAGAAGTTGAATGAAGAGCTCCATGCATTAATCCAATACGAATTCACCTAAAAACCTCGGTGTACAATCCCATCAGCACCCACCAAACTGCAGAGGTGGTTGGGGGAAAAGCTCTACCGACAGCGAAGCTCGGAATAATAAAGAAAAGAAAAAACAAAACACACAACACCACAAAAAAAAACAAAAACAAACGCAGAAAGGCAAGTGAAGAAAGGAGCATGCACAAGAGGACTACACCAAATGGCAGAGTCCCACATAGAGCCCCACTCCACCTACACAGGCGCAGGAGGGAGGGAAAAAATAAAAATAAATAAGTGGCCGTCCCCAATGCCGGCAGCCGTGCCGGAGCAGGAGTGGGTGCCGGAGCAGGAGTGGGAACCCCCGGCGGCGCCCCGGCCCCGAGCTCCGTACCTGTGCGGGAAGGGCAGCCCCAGGGCGAGGGGGGCAGGCCCGGCTCCAGAATAACAAGTTGCAGAAGAAACGGAATTTTCCCGGCGCTGCTCGGGCCACAAAGACGAATGAAAGGAGGGAGGGGAAAAAAAAAAAAAAGCCA